CGGGGCTGCAGCTCAGCGCGCTGCCCGACCACTCCCCGCTGCTGCAGCCCGGCCTGGCCGAGCTGCGGCGCCGAGCCCGGGCGGCGGGCGCTCCGCCGACGCCTCTGCCACTCACCGACTCCTTCCTGCTGCGGTTCCTGCGCGCCCGGGACTTCGACCTCGACCTGGCCTGGCGGGTAAGCACGCTTCCCCGCTGCGTTCCCCCGCGCGGGCAGGGCCGGGGACCAGCGGCATGGCCAGACCTCTGGGAAATCCCGAGTTGCCTGCCGAGCCTTGGTGGCTGGCTACGCGCCCTTCTAACGCACCGGGCGGCGGGCGCGGTGGCTGCAGGTGTTCTGAGAACTCCCGCGCCGGTCCTTCCAGTTTCTCTGAGTCACGGAAAGAGGAAACCTAGAAAAAGCTGGAGCGCTCTGGGGTGATGGCCCGTTTGACCCCAAACACTGGAACTGTGCTCTAGATGAGTCTCCGAAACCTATCAAGTTTTTTGTTTTTGTTTTTTTGTTTGTTTGTTTGTTTGGGTGGGTGGCGGGGAGAATAGGGATGTCTTTCCTGTCCCTGGCCCGACGCCAGCGATGTAAAACAGAGTAACAGCTTCGAAGTAGGAAACCTAGATTTATCACATTTTAGCAGATCACTCCACCTGTGGTGGGAAAAATGAAGTTGCCAGTAAAACTGAAGGTCTGAAGCCAAATTCTAGCAAAATAGTGCCGTTATTAATAATAATACTTAAATGTTAGGACAGTAAAGCGGTCCAATATATTTTGAGTGGAAAGGTGCGGGATGAGGTGGTTCTTTTGGGTTTCCAGGTATGTTACAGATGGTTGAAGAAGGGGTGATAGGAAAACAGGAACCAAAAAAGAGGGATGTAACCTTGAGTTATGTCACTTTGGGCTCAGCATCCACTTCTGTCAAATAAGGGTGAGAATGCCTACCTCACTGATTCTGAGGATTGAACATTAACCAGTTTAGCGGAACAACACGTACCCAGCACAGAGCCTGACAATATAGTAAGCACTCAGCAATTGAACCTGATCTAGCCCTTCGGCCAAGGGGCCTCCTCGGTGTCATATTGGGAGTGGGAGACAGGGAAAGTATACCAGTGCAGAATCATAACATGACCCAGTATGAGTTTTGTTGTTGTTGTTGATAACTAATTTTTAATTGAAAAAGTAAAGAGCATAGGTGATTTTTTTATGAACAGTAAAGAGTGCAAAGTAAGTTTCTAAAAGTAACTGTATAAAGGAAAAAAGTTCCCCACCCCAAACCTTCATTTTGCTGGTCCTCTACCCAGAATCAGTTACTGTTACCTGTTTATCTTTCTAGGTATAGTCTGTGCTCACACAAGCATATGTATGTGTTTTACATTTGGCCTTGTTTGTTTGGTTTTTGTTTTTGTTTTTTGTTTTTACCTAATTTATCATAGAGATCAGCCTAGTTCAGTATGTGTTCATAAATCTTATTCTTTTTGGGGGCTGTGTACTATTCCATTGTATGGATTTATTATATCTAAATTTATTAACCAGTCCCCTGTTATTAGATAGAGGAGTTATCCTCAGCCAATGGCAATGCCCACGCATGCTGTTCTTTCCTTCATTCAGTGATTATTTTTTGAACTCTTACAATTTGCCTGGCTGTACACAAAATGCAGTAAACAAGACAAATGGGATTTCTTCTATCACCAACTGGATATCTCTTTATATATTTGTCTTTGTGCAAAAATAGGAGTAGTATCTCTTTATACATTTGTCTTTGTGCAAAAATAGGAATATATCCTTACAAGTTCAACCTGTAAAGTTCCTGGATGAAGTGAGGTATGCATTTTCAGGGTTGATGAATGTAACTGTCCTTCAAAGCATTTGCACTAATTTTATCACTTTTATATTACAAAATGGTGCCTTTTTCTCCATATTATCACCTACACTGTACTATCAAACATTATGATCTGTGTCAACCTGCTTGGTGAGCAATTGGTTCTCATTATAATATGCATTTGTTTAATTAAAAGTGAGGTTAATCATCTTTCATATATTTAAAATTTTTAGATTATTTTCCAGTTAGCTGTTTTTACAGTTTGTTAATTTTCTTCCATTTTGTTCACATAAAATATACATATACATTTTTTATTCATAAAATATCTTTATGTATTAAAGAAAATAAGCCTTTGCCCTAGTTTGTTGTCTTTTGACATTGCTTGTACTATTTTTTTTTCTGTGTGGACTTTAAACATTTTTATGTAATCACATGTATCGATTAGATTGTTCTTTGATTGTTTCTGGGTTTTATAAGCTCTTCTCCTCTCCAAAATTTTCTCTAGTAATTTATGATGTCTCTTTTTAATGTTGGAGTTGCTAACCTACTGGGATTTATTTTGATGTTAGGAATGAAATAAGAATCTGACTTTATTTTTGTTTCGTCAGATGGCTACTCAGGTATCCCAACATCATGGGTAATAAACTAATATTTACTCAGCAACTACTAAATATAAAGACAATCTTAGGTCCCATGAGGAGTGCAGTTTAAATGAAACATTAAACATATAAATGTGTAGAGATCACTAATAATAAAAAAGTGTATGATTTACTGATTTCATTTTAGCTGCTTTTCAAAAGAATGTCTAAACACAAGAAGGAATAAAAGTTACCTCCAGCAGCTGTTATATATATTGTTTTCTGTATTCTTTATTTTCCTGAATTGTTTTCATTTCACCATGTCCTTGAGGAATTGGTTAGCAAGACTGTCCAAATCCACTGGATAGGGATCAAGTTTCTGTTTGTGAACTCTTTGCCTTACTTTTCTGCCAACTGGAAAGGAAAGGGAAAGGCTTAGAGTGTGAAACTATTTTTTTTTTCAATTTCCTCCATAAAGGCAGCTAATTTAACTCAAACCCCCTTATTTATAATATAAAAGCTCTATAGTTTTAGTATATGAAGAAAGCTTGATAAGCCCCTCAGTTACAATGAAATTTCTCATTATTCTAGTTTTTGTATTTGAAGATACAGTGAATTAATGAGGTTTTTATGATTCTAAAAGTTTATAGAGTACCAAGTATTTGGGTAAATAGTGTTTGTGTGGATCATCTCATTATTTTCTCATTTTAGAAGAAACTGAGATGCAGTTTCTAGTCCAAAGTCAGGTATTACGTGGTAGAGGAGGGATTTGAACTTGGGTTGAACTCTGCAGAGCCTATGCTCACAAGTATACTGCGCTTGCCCCTTCTGTTCAAAACAATGAACATAAAACGGCCAACTGTTAACCTCTGTGTGTCCTACATGTTCTTGTGAATTCCTGTCTTTTATAAGTGACTAGTTCAGTTCCCTATGTTTTTGCTCTATGTGGCAAGTTTTTTTATCCTTTAAGTATTTTTACGGTTTCCCCAAAGTCTTTGAAGCTTTCAAAAATCCATTGACTCTTCCTGTAGCTTCTTTTGTAGAATTTGTCATATCACATGTCAGTTTCAGTGACTCTGCTCCTGATAGTTACTGCCCTTAAACAAATGTGTAACTTCTCTGAGCTTTACTATTCTTATCCATAACATGGGATAACAGTAGTTACCTCTCAGGATGGTTGTGAGAAGGAATTGAAATGATGCCATTAAACCCTGTAAATGCAGCACAACTATAGCTGTTATTTTGTTTGAAAGCACATGAAAAATGTAAGAAGAAACTGACTCTACTACAAAGCATAGTTAAAATAAACCCTAACTTTTTACATTTATTTATTCCTAACTGGAGCAAAAACAGGTGCCTTCCAGTAATGAATGTTCACCTGCTGCCAGTTTTTTTTTGTTGTTGTGGACTTCTGATATTTGTTTGAGAATTGCTGAGTAGCAGTTTGTGTTATTTACATAACTTATTTATGTCAGCCGAGTTTTGAATTTATTTGTCAGAGGAAAAGTAATGCTCAAATATCCAGGTTTAGATACTTCAATTTGCAAAAGTTAAATGTCAAAGGCAGGAGAGTGATTTGCACACTTTTATGAAAAAGTCAGCTTTTCAAGTATGTGAATTCGGCTGGTTTATTCATGCATTAATTTATTCTTTCATTCAACACTTGTACCTATCTCCTGGGTGCCCAGCATTCTGCAGAGATGAATAAGCTGAGGACCCTGCCTGTTACCTAAAGATCCCTTTTAATGAAGCTACAACTTCTATGATTCCATGGGAAATTAAAATCGTTATTTTTATATAGGAGCTAATATGCTGCTTCTAGCGTTTTGCTTGAAACAGAATTAAAAGGACTATTTTTGTATCTGAGGGAGCTATCAAAGTAATGAGCACTGTAACATTCTTTTAACACTTATTCTGATGCCCTCTAAGACAGGAGGAGGAAGAGAAACTCAAAGAGTAGAATGAATATATCAGAATCTACAATGTACCTTTTGTTCTTTCTGCTTTTGGAAATTGCTATTTAGGTCACCAGTTATTTCTTTGTTGGCTAATTTAGGGACTTTTTTCTTTCCTACCTCGCAGTTTTATCCAGCCCATGGCAACATTCTCTTTTTTAAAAGAGTTCAGAAAAGTTTATTAAATGAAGAAATGAGAGGGAGAAAGACAGAGATAGAGAAAGTTAGAAAGACAACATCAGGGAGAGAGAGAGAGAGGAGAGAGGGGCAGGAGACATACATAATTTTTTCCTCCCTTCTGTGCGCCATGGTGTCAAGGCTCCTCCAGTCCAGCCAGCTTTTCTCTTTCTCCAGCCCTTGCCAGCCATTAACGTTGCTCCAGGTTTGGAATTTCACCCTCTACTTGGCTTTTAAATTTATATTTGTTCTTTCTCTTCCAGGTCATCCCTACTTTGTGATCACACCTGTCATGTTTATTCCAGTGACTCTCAAATATGAAATTCGTCTCTTCCTTTCATCTAAACTTCCATTTCCCACCTCTTTAAACTCAAAACAGACTTATTGTTGGGGTGCCCAGGTGGTGCAGATGGTTAAGCCTCCGACACTTGGTTTCAGCTCAGGTCTTGATCTCACGGTCGTGAGATCGAGCCTTCCCTCAGGCTCCACGCTGAGCGTGGAGTTTGCTTGAGATTCTCCTTCCTTCTCCCTCTGCCCCTCCCTCTTGTGCTCTCTCTCTCTCTCAAAATAATTAAATCTTTAAAACAAAACAACAAAACCCAAACATATTGTCATTTTACAAAAATTGAGAATGCTAAACATCGTGAAGAGGAAAATTAAACCATAATAAACTTTAAATGCATTGATTTTAGTATTCTCCACAATATACTGGCAATATCCGTATTTCTTGTAAATGCAGAGTAACCATTATTGGTGGTTCTTTAAAATGAAAAGAAAACAGGATTCCTTCAGACCATACTTTACCAAGACCTACTATCTGGGCTTACTGTTCTGCTCAGAATACATACCACTATTAACAAAGCTGATTTTTATTGTTTTTCTATTAGTAGAAAGTATGGGAATGGTATAGAGATGTTCCTTTATATCTTTGATTTAGCTCTTTTTTGTAGGAAAGAAAATGAAACCAAAAAATTCTAGTTATCTTTAACATAAACCTGCACTAAGATACTCAGATGAGCAATAAATCCAAATAACTTTCCTATTACAACAATAGCAGGGGTAACTACCACTCATTATGTCCATGTATGCTTTACGTTTAATCCTGCAAGCAGATATGGAGGAAACAAGTCACAAAGGAGTTAAATAACTACCCAAGATCACACAGGTGATATGTGGTAGAGTCAAGGTTTTTCTGATGAAGCAGCCTGGGAATTTAACTTTTCACTACAAAGCACGGCATGTATGATCCAGTTGTCACCAGCAGGTCAGCCCCAATGAGCGCAGGCATTTTATTTTGTTCATGGCTATAACTCAAGTGCCTATCCAGTGTGTAGAACAATGTAGATGCTCCAAAAATATTTGTACAGCTAATTCATTTGATTTCTATTTTTCCTTATTTCAGAATGGACTAACAGTAGATGTTTCAGTTAGCTATTGCTGAGTAACAAGTCACCCCCAAATTTAGTGGCTTAAACCGCAACTATTTATTTGTCTGTGATTCTCTCAGTTGGGCAGGGGCTGAGTGGGGATGACTCATCTGTGATCCACATTGCATCAGATGGGAACTTGGCTGAGACCAGACCAAGATGGGCTCCAGTTGTCTAGTGCTTCTTTCCACATAGACTTACTATTTAGTAATCTTATTCTGATGTGGTTTCTGGGTCCCCAAAAGCAAATGTAGAAAGTCCCAGCCTTCCTAAACTAGCACAGTGTCACTTCTGCCAAAGCAAAATGTAAGGCACAGTGTCACTTCTGCCAAAGCAAAATGTAAGGCTGGCCCAGATTCTGGGGGGAGGAATCAACTGGATTCCACCTGTAAGGGGACAAATGGCATGTGTCTACCAGGAGGGGAGGTATTATTGGTAGCTATCTTTGGAGACTACCAACCATAGGAGACAAATGAAAATTACTCAACTTTGAATTTGTGATGAAGTCTTATCACCTGCAATGCTTGATGACGGGAACTTAAATTTTTACAATGAAAAAAAAAAATACCCCAGATTAAAATCCTGACATAATGGATGGTAAGGGCCGTACATAATGCCAAGGCTTTGCTTCCGTTTTTACAAGGTGCTTACCATGTTTGACATCTGTAGTCAATTTTTATTTTATTTTTCAGTTACTGAAAAACTATTATAAGTGGAGAGCAGAATGTCCAGAAATAAGTGCAGATCTGTGCCCTAGAAGTATTCTGGGACTTCTGAAGGCTGGTTACCTCGGAGTCCTGAGAGCCAGAGATCCCACTGGCAGCAAAGTTCTTATTTACAGAATCGGTAAGTCATATACAGCACTGCTTTTCTTTTTCTTTCTTTTTCTTGGCTGCCATATTGAAAGCTTTATGAGTCCATATTTAAGAATTTTGCTTTTCAGGCTTTAACTTAGGTTTAATTTAGATTGTAATGTCCCTCAAATATAATAAAACTGGCAACTGTGAGAAAATTAGAAACCAACAAAAAGCTTGCTTCCGTTCTTCCACACAGTCAGCTGTATAAAATAAGAGAGAAAGAAAGCAGAGTAGAGAAATATGGGGGGAAAGGTGAAAAAGATCAAGGTAAAGTGTTTAGAAAATGCTTAGTAGGAAATCCAAATAAGAATTCTGAACGGTAATAACACAAGCTCCATGAGAGCATGGATTTTGTCTGTTCTATTCACTGTATCCTAACACTGAAACCAGGACCTAGTATATGGTAGGTATGTATTAAATATTTCTGGAGTGAGTGAATGGCTAGTTGGATAACACCCGAGGCTGAGGAGCCAGGGACTCATTCTCTGGGGCGGGGGAAGGTCCAGTGGGAAAGCGGCATCCCTGAGTAGCGTTGAAGATACTGTATTCCACATACCCCTCTTGTCATAGCTTCCCCTTTTCACCGTTAGGCCTTCCTAGTATTCCTGTAGTGTGACTGTCCCTTCCTTAGACCTGTGTGTGATTAAAAATGGCATGTAATGAAGAAGGACTCACACTGCTCCCAGCATCCTCTCGTGGCCTCTTTATAGATTTGCTTTTTCTACCTGATTATAGATAAGATACCTGCTTGTAACTCAACTGTTTATGATCTTGTAAGAAGGCACTGCATGTAATTCTTTAGGGTATCAGAAGACCGAGGAGAATGATTCCGGGTGTTTGCTCCTGCTTATGTGTCAGATACAATTGGGTCAGTCGTGAAGTCACTGTCCATAAAACAGATGTCACAATGTCTGCCCTGTCCTTTTGTTGCCCCACCAGTGTTATAGGATGATGAATGTAGTTCCCCAAGTTCTTTAGAGGTAGAGTTGCCAGAGTGACGATATTATCTATGTTTTATGTAGCAAGTAACCATAGAGTGTATGAAAATATGGGATGTCCAGTTTGAATTTGAATTTCAGATAAACAGGATATAATTTTTTAGTATCAGTATGCTCCATACATACTAAAAAATTATTTGTTTTTTATCTGAAATTCAGCTTTAACAGGGTGTCTTATATTTTATCTGGCAATGCTACTCAAAGGTCCCAGGAACATAAAACTGAAACCTTCAGGGGGCTCTTTCTGCAAGTGTCCTGGCTCTGTACTGCCTGGCTGAAGTTTTTTCAAATTTGTGCATAAATTACCTGGGGCAAGTTAAGAAGTAAAAATGACATCTTCATAGTGAAAAAACTAATGTGCTACTTTGATCATAAATACCTTAACACTGGGGGCATCTGGATGGCTCAGTCAGTGGAACGTGTGACTCTTGATCTCGGGGTTGTGAGTTTGAGCCCCACGTTGGGTATAGAGATTATTTAAAAATAAAAGCTTTATGAATAAATAAATAAATACATACATACATACCTTAACACTGCATCAATTGTCTTCTATTGCTTAGTGAGAGGGTTCCTTATGGTACATTAACATTTAAGTATACTGTTTTTAAAATCAAGAAAACATGTTGGTTGGGGCGGTCCCTGGGTGGCTCAGTCGGTTAAGCATTTGCCTTCAGCTCAGGTCATGATCCCAGGGTCCTGGGATCAGGCCCCATATCCAGCTCCTTGCTCGGCAGGGAGCCTGCTTCTCCCTCTCCCTCTGCCTGCTGCTCCCCCTGCTTGTGCGCTCTCTCTCTGTCAAATAAATAAAATCTTAAAAAAAACAAAAACAGAAAACACGTAAGTTAGTGATGGTCAGAACAGAAGGGCATGCAGCAAATTTCCTGTGTGTTATGTAGAATAAGATCTTATTCTAGGGTGCAAAGGGAAAACTCAGAAGAGGTTTAGGAGTAAAAGGAAAGGATAGGATAAAGATTTATAAATTTCCTAAATGTAATTGAATTAATGGGAGAAACTAAAAAAGGAAATCTGTGGTAGAGGTTTTCGGTAGAACATTAGCATAACCACCTTTCCCTAGGTACCATCTCTGCAGTGAAAATGCACAGAACCTTTTTTCTCCAGTCCATCAGGGCAACACAAGGTGAAACTCAGTTTTTGCCACTATTAGCCTACCAGCCAGATATAATTTTATGCCTTTTGAAACTATTATACTGTCGCAGCAAAAATAAAATTTAACAGTGAGTATTAAGTTTTGACTATGGCTTAGTTCTTAGGGTTAAAGTTCTACAGCACATTGCCCAGGTTGGAACTGCAGCTCTGCTATGTTCTAGCTACGTGGGCAGCTATGTACCCGTAATCCCATTTTCTCTGTCAAACAGGCATAGTAAAAACCTATCTTACGGGGTTCCTGTGAGCATTAAATCCTGTAATACACATGAAATATAATTAGAACATTACTTGATATATAATAAGCACTCAATAAATATTAAATAGATGCTGGAAAAGGAATGAAGAAGTTAAGTCATATTTTCCTTTTGCCTTAAAGGAGCTTAGAGTCTAGACCAGCGCTATCCAATAGAATTTTCTATGATGATGAAATTGTTCTACAGTAGCCACTAGTCACATGTGGCTATTGAGCACTTGAAATGTGGCTTTTGCAACTAAGAAATTGAATTTTTAATTTCATTTAATGTTAATTAGTTTAAATTTAAATAGCCACACATGGCTAATGGCTACCCCATTGGACAGCACAGGTCTAGACAACTATGTTGGTGAGCTTGGAAATTTAGGCCAGTAACTATTTTCTTGACTGCAGACTTTCAATCATTCTGCTTGTATTTTTCACCATTTTAGCTTTTCTGCCAATGTCTGAAGTAGTATAGTATATTTGAGCTGGGTTATCCATGAATTGATTACTCAAATTCTTACCAGGCAGCTGAGGCTCTTAAAAAGCAAAGGGCAATCCCATTATGCCTTTCTGGGAATACTTCTGATTGTCTCTTTTCTATCTTCGATTTTTTCCTTGCTAGAAGACACTCCCTATCAACATTTAAATCTATTAAGGGTCAGCCATCCAAAACAAAACAAAAACTCCTTCTCAATCCCACAAGATCCTCCAGCCTCCACCCCAGCCATCTCCCTACCCCTCATTCTCAGCCAAACATCTCAAATTAGTGATGTTCACCATCCATATTTTCACAATTTTTCACAATTCCTCTCAATCCACCCTGGCCTGGTTTCACTTTCACCTCTGTGCTGAAATGACCTTAACAAATCATCAGTGACCTTCTTTTCACCAAATCTAGTGGACATGTTTAGTTTTGTTTTACTTGATCTCTCAACACAGCAAACCACTTCCTCTTTCTTGAGATACCCTCTTCCCTTGGCTTTTCTAATGCTACATTCTCCTGATGTTTTCCTGACTTAAACTGGCCGCTCCTTCTGAGTCTCCTTTGCTGGCACCACCTGTTCTACCACCTTTTCAATTCTGAAATTCTTTAGGGCACTTCCTCTTCTTATGCTACTTTCTTTGTAGACCTAAGATAATCCCTGTTGCAGGCTGTCATGCAAGTACAAACAACTCTCAGATTTCTGTCTTCACCCCACCATCTCCTGTCCCCAGGGATCTGTAGGAGCAGCTCCCTATTCCAACTGTCTCCAGTTGGATGTCTCTCATTCACCATTTTTACGTGTCCAAAACTACTTACGATTTTTTCCTCCCAAAACATTTCTCTTTCACTGTTTCCTCTCTCAATAAATGGTACCACCATTCTACCCAGTTGCCCAAGCCAGAAACTTTGGTATTTTGAAACTTTACCATTACTTAATCATGAATCTTTTCTTTCCCCTTTCTCATTTGTCTCCTTAGGCACTCCTTGGAACCTTCAGTATGAAGACTTGCATTTTTTCCAGCTTTGGAACATTTTTCTCTACTGTTATTCCTCTTTCCCCTCTTCCCTATTCTCTGCATTATTTCCTTCCAGAACTCTAATTAGTTGGATGTCAAAACTCTGGATCTAGCTGCATGTCTCTAGCTGCATGAGTCTTTTGATGCATACATATCAATTGTTGGCTCTTTTCAGAGAATTCCTCAGCTTGGTGTTCCAAACCATTATGCACTCATTGGCTGTGTCTTTTCTGCTATTTGTCCCATCAACTGAGATTTACTTGAATTATCATCTTTTTATTTCCAAGATCTCAACTGATTCTTTTAAATAATAACCTGTTCTTATAATAATAGCCTACATTACCCTTTTATTCCCTCACTGAAACTATCTTGCTTCTTTTTAATGTCTCTTGCTTTATTAACTGTTTCCTTAGGTTTTAATGTCTTTGTCTATTGAGTGTGGTTCCCCTCTTCTTTGTGTGTATTTTTAAAAATGTTATAATACTTAGTGAATGTGTATCTTCTTTTAAGATCACCTGTTTGCCTGTCCATTACTGTCATTTCTGCTTGCCCTGGCCTGCCCAGGGATGGTGGGGGAGGGGAGAGGACAGGAATGTCAGTAATGTTTTGTTGTTTCCCCTGGGTGTAGGCAGCTACCAGAGTGCTTCCCTGGCTCTTTTCCAAAGCCCACACTTACTGTTCTGGCCTGTGCAGACATGACAGCTATGTGCTGTTGCCACCGAGGGGTGTCTGATACATCAGCCTGCCAGTCTGCTCTTCATCCATTTCCCTTAGCAACCTCTTCGGTTACTATAGGGACCTTAGTTACTCTTTATAATCCTTTATCATCCAAAAGCCCTTGCTTTTCCCATTTCCAACACCTCCGAGCTGGGAGCATACCTGGGGACATTTTCCTCTTTAGCCACAACCCTCTCCTGAATGTTTTGGGCTATAGCTTCATCTGGCAATCAAATCCAGCCTGCATTCATTCTCTTCTCCCCCATGCCCTTATCTGTTCTTCCCTAGGGATTTGAGGATAGAGGAAATAGCAGGAACATGTTTTTGGACTACCAAATTGATCCATTATTCAATTCACGCTCTTTGTACATGTTTTTATTTCTACTGACATTTTAAATCTCAAAAGAATTAGTTTCCCTTTGTAAATCTTCCTGAATCCTTACACTATGCTGAGATATGCTATTTTTAAAATTTTTTTTAGCACAATGGGACCCCAAAGTTTTCACAGCTTATGATGTTTTTCGCGTAAGTCTAATCACATCCGAGCTTATTGTACAGGAGGTAGAAACGCAACGGAATGGTATCAAGGCTATCTTTGATCTAGAAGGCTGGCAGTTTTCTCATGCTTTTCAAATCACCCCATCCGTAGCCAAGAAGATTGCTGCTGTTCTTACAGTAAGTGTATATTTTAACTCTTTGGGATACTAATTCCAAATAATAGATTTCAATTTAGTTATATGTTCAACAAAGCAAGAGGATAATACATTTATTAGAAAATAAATAATTTTAAAATGACACATAGAATTCAATAATGCTAAGAGGAAATAAAGTGCTATTAATTCATAAAAGAAAGAATGTTGCAAGAAACTGAAAATAGGTTCAAAATTAGTAACTACAGAATTTATACATTTAAATAATAGCGTGGTAACTTTCTCTTTCTGTTATTAATATTTTCTTCCTAAATTAAAAATTGACTCAAAACAATATTTATAGCAATGGTACAATAAAATGTTACATTCTTGGTAGGTATAAATTGATACAATCCCTTCAGAAATTAAAAGGTTTTTAAGATGGCCATCATCTTTGATCCAGTAATTCTACTTTCGGGGACCTAGCCAATGAATAATCTGAAATACAGTAAAGACTTCATATATAATAACAATAGTAGCTTATTATGTGCCAAGTACTTTGCTAAATGTCTCAAGTGCATTACCCTTTAATGACCAAACAAGCCTATAGCTATTATTTTTCCCATTTTACAGATTAATTAACTATGTCAGAGGGGTGACATAGCAATGCCCAAGCACACACATTTTGTCAACAGTGAAGCAAGAATTCCAGTTCAGGTCATCTGAATGTAGGAGTTGTGTTTATAACCACCATTGCCTCCGATAAATAAAGATAGTTACTATAGCATCAATTTTTATAGATGAGAATTAGAAACAGTTTATTTTTCCAGAAATAGGAAAATTATGGTATATCCATTTGATAGATTATCGCAACAATATTAAAACTCATGATATGTGTAAAAATTGTATTATGTCAATGAAACAAAACAGGGTGCAAATTATTTAGACAGCATATTGGCAATTATGTTTAAAATAAAATTATTCATAGAAAGAACCTGGAAGGAAAAGCTCCAAATTGATAACACATCTGTAAAAGGTATGCATAGGGGAAAAAAAAAAGAATTTTGCATGAAAGAAATTTGGCGGGAGAAATCTGTATGTGAGCACATTTTGTGTAGGAAAACTATTGATGAAGTGTTTTTTTTTAATTCTTAATGTTTTAAGCTTTCTAAATAAACCTGTATTACTTTGATGTGAAAGACCTATACCTGTGCCAGAAGTTTAAAAGTGTGTGTTTACTATTTCTTCAGCTTCTATGAGATTTTAATTTTTTTCTCAAAATAAAAATTAGGGGAACATGGTTAAATATAAACATCCAAATGACTCACTGGTTCGTTGAAAGAACATTTATATGTGGTTGGAAAAGATATTTTCTGTGCTTACTTACAAAAGATGCAGGTCTTTCTTAAAATACTTTGCCTAAGCTATAAGGTGAAACCTTTTTCAGAGATCTTTCCTTAATCTAGTGACTGTGAACTGCAGAGCAGGATATTGTGTTGATGGAATAAATAATTCTGAAAATAAAATCCCACTTTAGGTACTGCACTAAGTAAAGCAAGTGTTCAGAGAAGGGACTGGTCAATAGGAATATATATTGATTTATGCTTTGTTATTAATAATTTTTTTCTTTATTTTCAAAAGGATTCCTTTCCATTAAAAGTTCGTGGTATCCATTTGATAAATGAGCCAATAATTTTCCATGCTGTCTTTTCCATGATTAAACCATTCCTGACTGAAAAAATTAAGGAACGGGTAAGTAAAACATATTCAAGTCACTATTCTTCTGTACCAAATGTTCCAATCCTTTTTATTTAAGGATTGCATTATTACCTCCCCTCCCCACAATTAGCCCAATGTTTTAAGTATTTGTCTAACAAAGCATTTTTATAAATTAAAATTCCTTTTTAATTTGGAAAATCAAGTTAGGCTGTGGGGGGAACAGCCTCTCATTCATTGAAGTGGGAGTGCAAAATGGTATATTCCCTATAGAGGGCAGTGTGATAATAGTTATCAAAATCACAGCCTTTGCACTTTTGGGATTTTATCCCACAGATATACCAGCACATAAACAAAATTACAGATACAAAAGGATTCATTGCAGCAAAAGATTGGAAACCACCAAGTGTTCATCATTAGGGAACTGGTTAAATAAACAGCTGTATCAACACAATGGAATACAGTAAGACTTTCATGATGTAAAGTGAAATAAAAAAATGAAGAATAGTTTTTATAGTATACTACCTTTTGTATAAAAAGGGGAGAAATCAGAATCTCTAGTTGTATTTACATTAAAAGGATACAAGAAAGCAACCTAACTATATGTAATAGAGTAGAGGTGTGGATGGGGTGGATGAGGTTTGAGTAGGGACCAAGGCATCTCATTGTATATCTTTTATCTTGTTTTGATTTCTAGCCATATGAATGTATTATCTGTGCAAATAAAAAATAAATGTATTTAAATTAGACATGCATAACTGAAAACCACAATACCCAAGGTATGTGACTTAATGTCATGTTAATTAAAGCAAAGAGATTTGATGGGTTTCTTTGTTTTTGTTTTTACCTATCTTGTGGAGCCTTATCTCAGGTGAATATCTAATATCTCTTAGGATTTTTCAAGTATTAAAAATAAAATTTGAATTCCCAAGAATGGCAACCACTCTTCTACATTAATCTATAAAGGATAATTTGTAGAGATTATCCAGTAGGAATTTCTATCTGTCTTCAAGAAGAACTACACCTATGAAGATGGCCACTTTTCATTTTAGCATTTTTAAAAAAGTCAATTTTGCGGGGCTCACTTTTGTCTCTCTTCAGTGTAGCTTGATAATATCTGACACGTTTTGTTTAACTCTGAAAGATCTAAAAATAAGTATTTCTATTTTGGGTTATATTCTGGACAAATAAAAACAAAAACAATGAACCGAACCTAATGAATAGGAGAATATGAGCAAAAAAGAAAGAAAAATAAAAAAATTGAGAAGGTAGGTGAAGCATTTCAGTGAAAGGTAATTGACATGAAATAGACTTGCCAAAGTAAGGGAGATGGGGACCCAATCAAGCCATTCTCCTCCCGTTCAACATTTTGGCAATACCTTGTGAGTGTTTTTATTTGCCCCCTTCTGAGGAAATAGTGGAATTATTTTCAATTAGCTGATGGTATTTTAAACATTTCAGAAGAAATCAAGAATTGGGACTCTGAGGTTCCCAACTCTAGGAAACTTGTTTCATTCATTTTTCAATTCTCCTATCCTAGCATACAGTAGCTGTTTTTATTTTTTTATTTTTTAAAGGTTTTATTTATTTATTTGAGAGAGAGCACATGAGAGGGGGGAGGGTCAGAGGGAGAAGCAGACTCCCTGCCGAGCAGGGAGCCCGATGCGGGACTCGATCCAGG